CCGGCGCCGCGGTGCCAGCAGGGTCGCCGCGCTCTCGAGCTCTCGCCCCCGCCAGCGCTTTAGCCCCCGAGGGCCGCCTGCTGGTTCTCTCGCTCCCGCTTTGGGAACGTGCAGCTCGGGACAGCGAGGAGCCGGGGCTCGGGGAGTGGTCCCCGTGGAGAGTTGCTCTCTGCAGGTTTCCAAGGTTAAAAAACTCTGACAAACTGCAATCCCCAGGGCCTGGGAGTTAAGCCCCCCAAACGACCTGTTGCTTTAAGCGGCGCGGTGGGGAGTAGCTGGACACTCCTTATTTTGGTTTTACATTAAAAAAGAGGGAGGCCGAGAAGATGTTGTAGGTTACTTGCTAGCCTTGTAAATTGCTCCGGGGCTGTGAGTGAATGGTGTTAATTTCTGAAGTGGGCGACTCCAAATACATAACAAAGGTAAGGTGGTTTTTTGGTAATCCTTCCAACTACTGTCCCCTCATCTTATATTTGAAGAAAAAAAAGGTGTTTTTTTTCCTCTTTCCTCCCTCTTTGGCCCTTACACCCCTTATTCCACCACCTTCCTTTTGACTCTGGTATATTTACAGTGGGGAAGAAATGGCTTATAAAAAGATTTTAAAAGGGTCAGCTTCTGCAAAAGCAGAAAATCATATCCAGTCATCTGCATCATGTTTCCTGTTGGTGATGAAACCTTTTCCATACAAGAAACAGATTTTTGTCACCCTTGAAACCACATGATAGGGCCATCCGGAGGCACCGGTGGCTTTTTAGGCTCAGATTATTGAAGTGAGATTGAGGAAACCTGACAGCCGTCTCATTTCAATGTTAAGGATGGTGGGGGGCCAGAATGTCTTTCTGTAGTAATTTATCTCCAAAGGTAACACTGAGTGGAGGCTTAGTTGTTTGAAGTTAAAGATTCAATCTGCATAAAAATGCAGCACTGATGAATTATGACAGCTGACCAATCACTAGTCACCGGATAGTTAAGAAATCAGTTAGAATAAATGAAATGGAATTTTTCAAATTAAGGATTTCTTTTTTAATTAGGTAAAAGTTCACGTAATCTTGGATACTGTCCCAAGGCATTTGGGGATGTGGCTTTCTTGCTGCTTATCAAAGTAATAGAAAGTGTCCTCAAGGTACTTCTTATAGGCCATACTGCTTTGAAAGGAAAAATCAAGTTGTTTATTGCTTTGTTTTTTTTTCTAGTGATATTTTAATGACTCACCCAGTTTTCTTTAGCAGGGATGTAGATTAGAAATGTAGTGTTTAAGTTTAAATGCTGGATCACGTGAATTTTTCAGAGGAGAGAAAGCAAAGGGTTGACAACACAAACATGAAGAGGTGGCCGCAGTTTTAAGCACAGTTGCAACTAGACCAAGAGCATTGAGAATTTCAGGTGCCAATTTTAAAAGGTGAAGGGTTGTCAGCAGCATAAAACACAACCTCTAGACAAACCAAAGTACCCAACATAGGCAATGAGATAACACTTTTGTGGGAGATTGTGCCGCTATTTATTTAAACAATAATCTTTGTCAAATTGATGACCCGAAATCTTGGAAGGGAACAAAGCCAACCCTGTCTGAAAGGGAAATCAGGAGGAGGGACAGAAATAAGTTTGGGGTTTTATATCCTTTCTTCTCCACCTTACCCTTCACCCTGTTCTGATATATGTCCCGTTGGCCTCTTTTACTTAATTACTGGGTAATTTAAACAAAGATTAGAAGGTTAAAGTAGATGAAATTCTTTTCGTACAAAATGAGTTTGTTTTCCAAGTTCTACTCTTGATCTGAAGATTAAAAGTAAATCACGTTACTAGTGATTGAACCACAGGAAAGTATTTGACTGTTTCAGACAGGTTTCCACCTCCACATTTGAAGTCCCTTCTGAGTTTTTAGGACCAGGCAGGGGAATGGATGCAGAGGTGCTGATGGGTGGAGGGAGATCGCCTCAAAAAACAGACCCGAAGGTTCAAGTGAAACTGGTTAGATTTTCCCAGAGAAATCATAATCCTAGAAAAAAAAACTTACTCTGAAGAGGGCTTTAATTTGGGATTCATAAGACTTAGAAAAATGATACATTTTTCATGACTCTAGAATTATGTGCCAAACATTTATGAAGTTACAATGAAGGTGTAATGCATCTTTAAAAACTGGTTGTCAGAATGATGCCAAGTTAAAGGTTATATTGGAGCGTTTCAACTGCTGGCCTGATTAAGAGATAATTTTTCCTCTTAGGGGCAGTCTCTGTGTCTTATGATGTTGATTTTCTGGTTTAATATCGTAAGAGGTGTGTGTTAGTCAAAACAACCACCTGCTGAGTAATTGCTTCAAAAGGACAACTGGAAAAAGATTTTTAATAATGACATTGCAGATGACTTGGTTTATGAGACAGGGGGCCTTTAGGATCTCTAGAGAAGAACTGTCATAGAAATTATAATAATTAATTGCCCAGTTGCCACCTCAATTTGTTGGAAACTTCTCCTGCTGGAGGGATTTAGGGGGAGATGGCATCCTGCCACTTTTTGTGTGTGGTCCTGAATTGTCTTGTCAGTAAAACACTACTGAGATCATCCGAGCTTGATTTCTGAGTGTTTTTACTCCCGTCATAGTTGCTTCCCCTTCTAGTCTGTCGCCATCTGTATGGGGGAGAGAAGGCAGAAGGGGAGATATTCTTCCTTTGAAGTCAGTGTACCCCCTCTTTTCAGAACCTCTTATATATTGCACTGTAAAGGGGGCGAGGGAGGAATTTTCCAGTGAAAGTTAGAAGGGGAGAGAGTATCTGGAGGAATAAATGGCCAAGAAACAAGTGAGTTGCAAACACTGTCAGTAATGCATAGTTTACCAGAAAGCTGACATGAAGATTACCAATGTCCTCTAATATTGACTGTCGGAATCTGAGGCCCATCCCCCCACTTTTTGTAGTTCAGGTGCTCCTAGTGCACTGCAATAGATAGCTCATTTGAATGAGTTAAAGATATCATCTCTTGTACAACCAAAAGTAAACTGATTACAAAAGACACAAGCCCTTCAACCTCACTCCCACTGTGTCTTTCCTCTACTTTCTGCAGTGATTTAAGGACAACTGGAAAAAAAAAAATCCCCACAGCTCAGTTTCTATAACTTACTTGTATAATACGAGAATTCTTTTTGTTGTGAATATTCTGTTTTTGCCATCATATGAACTTAGTTCATGCAAAATGATTTGTGAAATGTGTTTAGATGTATACAGTTTATGTGTTTGTAAAATACAAAACATAAGTAAACTGATAGTATAATAGAAATCATTAACTGCAGCTTATAGTTGCCCTTTCAGTAAACCCTATGAGTTTTTGAGAGGGTCATTTTAGAAATCAAAAGTACAATCCCTACCTTGCCGAAGGCCATTTAAGAGAGATGACATCAGGAAAAGTGCCAATGTAACCCTGAAAACTCTTTGTGATTTTTGGGAAAATATCAATTCTTTGGTCTCAGCAGATTTCTGAAAATGCAAAATATATACTTTATTTATAAATTGTAGTCATTCATATTAATCAAGAAAACAATCTCTGCTCTTCTCAAATCATGACATTTGTCTTTGGGGATACTATCTGTTTGTGGTTCTTCTGAACCTGGAACCCCAGTGCCAAGATCATAGTAAGAGCCTGTTGAAGAAAGGGGAGTTGCTGACAGGTTTAGCCTCCTGATTGTGCTTTGCTTTGGAGAATAGTCAATATTGCTAATATGGAAGTTTCCACCTGCTGGGGAGAGAGGCAGCCGGATCCCAGAAACCATGGATAATCCACATGTGGGTGAGCAAGAGTTAACTATATGTACCAATGGGCAGCGGGTGGGTGCACAATGAATGCGGGGCATTGTGCAGGTGAAACAGGAACAGGACGCTTCTACCTGACCAAGGAAATGCCAGCCTGTAAAAATTATAACAAAAAGCATTCAGCTTTCAGAGTACCGAGACACGGCTCGATCATTCTTGTAAAACATTGCACATTGTGCCAAAAAAACCATAAAGAACTATTTACTGAGATGAAGATTTTTTTCAGGTGTTCATTCTCTTAGATCAATTTGTCATTCTGAAAATGTATAGTTGGGTCTTTAGAGCCCAGGTGAAATATTCATGTTTCTAAAAGTAAGGCTCCATGTCCGTGATAGCACTGTGACTTTTGAAAAGATGGCTTTAATAATATTTCTTTTTGTTTGCTGTCATTTACTTTTTGAAATAATAACATGGTTCTTGGTACACCAAGCCCTTGCCAAGATTAGGCCCATCTTCTCAGTAGCCTTCTTAAGACAAAGTTGCCTTTGTATAACTGCGACGGGGAGGATTTGGTGACACAGAAAACTCAGTGGGGCACTGCAACTTATTATTAACAGGAAATTCAATGGCCTCGTGTTTTTGTTGTTGTTTTTTATACTCTCCCAGCTAATATCTGTGCTATATTTCTCCATGCAGATGATCTTACCATTTTAGACTTGCCCCGGGAAGAATGTGGTGGCTGTGGATTTGCCTTGGAGTGTAGATTATAAAGGCCCAAGCTGCAGCACGCCGGTGCAGCAGAGAGCTCGGCTCTGAGCTAGTTTATTTTCTGGAATCAGCAAAATTTGATCACATGTGGAAAGAAAGAAACGGGTTAGCGAGAGTGAAAGTGACTATTTGGGGGGAAAAGGGATGACTTTTGGCTTTAAATTCAAACTGCATGGCAGAGAAGCTAAGAGCAGAGATGGCCTTGGTTCAAATCCTGCCTTTGCCCCTTATGTGCTGTGGGACTTTAGGCAGGTTACCTTAAAAAAAAACCCCAAAAATTGTGACTTAGTTTCCCCAATCAAAAGCTGCCTACCTGACAAGGTCTTGTAAGAATTGACGTAATTAATCTTAATCTTAAAAAACTCTTTTTGTTGCCCTCGCCAGTTTGGTTCAGTAGTTAGAGCATCAGCCCTCAGACTGAAGGGTCCCAGGTTCGATTTCGGCCAAGGGCACGTACCTTGGTTGCAGCTCGATTCTGGCCCTGGTTGGGGCTCATGCAGGAGGCAACCAATCAATGTGTCTCTCTCACATCAATGTTTCTCTCTCTCTCTCTCTCCCTCCCTTCCACTCTCTCTCTAAAGCAATGGAAAAAAATATCCTCCGGTGAAGATTAAAAAAACAAAACTTTTTTTGTTAAGGTATACTTGGCATACACGGTTATATTAGCATAAATTGATCTGTTGTCTGAACAGAGTTTAGAACAGTGCCTGACATGTACTCAGTATGATGTGCGTATCCATCCTGTTTAAATGCATTTCTGTGTTTTGAGTTCTTCTGTCACTATTCTCTGTGTAAGAGTTGTCTTTCATGGCCTCTTCTGCTGGTTGGAATTCAGGATTCTCTTCCCAACATCCCTCCTTGGCTTTGACCACATGGCCATTGCCATTGTAGGCAGGCACTATTTTGCTGTTTGTTTT